ACTGATAGAACTTTAAATGGTTTTTATTTTATTGTGACTGTGATTTCAGAGCTAAGACAGCTGCAGAGTGCATGTCTAACACACAGTTTCTGATCTGCAGGTGAGTGATGTGACAGAAAAGTCCTGCTAGCCCATGAAATTCCTGCAGAACCTCCCTTTCCACCAGCACCAACATGCAGAGCAACTATTCCCTGGTCATCACCACCAGAGAAACTCTGCAAGTCCTCTCTACAGCTCTGACAAACTCATCGGCTGTGTTGCACTCGCCCCCTCCATGCTCACTTACTTCTTCAGATTATCAGTTTTCGCTAATTCCAGCACTCTTCACTGTGATTTTTGTTCTGGGTTTGGTTGGCAACAGTGTGGTAGTTGTGGTGCTTTGTCGTCACACTGGCCCCAAAACGGTTGCTAATATCTACATTTTCAACCTGGCCATGGCAGATCTGCTGTGCCTTGTCACCCTTCCCTTCTGGGCCACCTACTATGCACAGGGATACAACTGGCTCTTTGGGTCTCTCATGTGCAAGATCTCCAGTTCTGTCCTGTGCTTGAACATGTTTGCAAGTATTTTTTTTATTACATGCATGAGCGTGGACCGGTACCATGCCATTGTCTATCCTATTCATTCTCAAACAAGAACTCCACAACAAGCTTATTTTGTAGCACTGGTTGTGTGGGGCCTTGCCTGTTTGTCCTCCCTCCCAACTTTTTATTTCCGAGACACTTACTATGTTAAAAGCTTGGGGGTCAATGCTTGCATTATGGCCTTTCCTTATGAGAATTATGCAAAATGGTCAGTGGCAACAGCCTTCCTGAAAAATGCCCTTGGCTTCTTCATCCCCTTGACAGTGATCACCACCTGCTACATCCGGATCAGGAGACACTTGCTCAAAGCACAGGAGTTTGGGAAAAGCAAGCAGAAGAGGGACAAAGTCCTAAAGCTGGTGGCTGCTGTTGTCATGGCCTTCTTAATTTCCTGGCTCCCGTTCCACATTTTAACATTTTTGAATGCCTTGGCTCATATGAACATCATTAATAACTGTGACGTGACAGGGACCATTGACACGGCACTGCCGTTCAGCATCTGCATGGCCTTCTCCAACAGCTGCATCAACCCTTTGCTGTACTGCTTCATTGGGAATCAGTTCCAGGAGAAGCTCCATCACTTGTTTAAACGACGAGTTTATCAGTTCAACAGCCATCGAGAAACCTCCTCTTTGAGGAAGGGCAGCTACTTCAGAGATACTGAGACCCCCATGGGCAGGGAAGAGGAACCCGAGTCCTTCCTGTAGGCACTGGGGCATGACGTGGGGTGATGTCAGTGCAGCTGGCTGTCCCTGCAGTGGTGGCATTCCTCTCTCCTCTTCCCTTTGTTTTGTGCCCATTTGTTCACCAGCTGTTTGAAGGAGAATCTGTTTTTGTCATTCATGGAGATTTATTCCTCCTTTCTTTCCTCAAAGAGCAGTCAAGTTTTACATAGAGGGAAGGTCCTGACAAATAAATATATTGATGGCCTTTTAAATATCAGCCTTTTGTGTGGCTGAGACCAGGCAAGTGTTAAGTGCCACACAAAAAGACTAAATATACTGAAAGTCTTGTAGGATAGCTACAATTGCATAGGTGCTGAGTATTATGCCTTAAGCTGATTTTCTAAAAGAGATTCTCACTAGAGAATTTGTAAATAAAGCAGTGCAGATACTTCTGTACCTATCTGTAAGAAAATATTTTGATGTTTATTTTGTATATGTATACATTTTAAAAAATATATGGCTAGAAATGTCATATGTAAAATGAAACAAATATACCAAACATGCAATGTTCCACAGCTACAAGGGCATGCTGAGCCCCATGCACTATGCAGCAGCCTTCAGGGAAATGACTTGCTGATTGTCTGGACTTTTTGCATTATAAATACCAATTACTATGGTAATTTTGGGGTACTGCATACAGAAAGTCTGAGTGACACTGTCTTGACACCTAGAAACAAAATCATGGTGTGACTTCTGAGACTTGCCCATGTCTCAGTGTGGGAGTTTACTCATTTGTAGCTAAAAGAGAGAGTAGAAACAAAAAAAGTGTTGGCAAATAGTGATTCTACTTTGATGTTGTTTTTGATGTTTATTTAAAATTTTCTTTTGCTGGAGAGATACTGGTTCTCTTGGCCCATTCAGAAAGGATTGTGCTTGATAGGTTCAATCTAAAAGGGAGATCTGTTAGCAGCTTGCTCTGTTGCCAGCAGGTTGTTCCCAGACCAGGTGACCCAAGGTGACCAAAAGACCATTGGCTTCAGGGAATACTCTCTGATGAGTTACTCTTGTGGTTTACATTAGCAGTTTTAGTTCCATGGATCAGAAATTGTATCTGCCACTTGGGTAACCAGGAGTCCAGTCTCCATGGAAGTCCCAACAATGGCTGGAGCCTGGAAGCCATGGAAATCTGGTGCATTGGACCTTCACTGTTAGGGTAGGGGAAACTTTATTCACTGGATTATGCAAGAAATGTGCTAGTCTCAGAGTGACATGAGATGAATAGTTTGTGCAGAACTTGACAAAACAGGACCTGACCACAAATAATCCCTTCTCCCTGTCCTGGTCTGCTGTATGTAACTGGAGAGACGTTTGTCCCAGAAAGTGGAAGAGCTGCTAATGCAGCTCCCCTGGAATGTTTTTGTTGAAAATGTTCCGAGGAGCTAATCATGTCTGGGGCGTTGGATATTTCTGGAAGAACAAACTGTTAATTGCTTAGCAATGAGGACAGCAACCCGGTCCTGCTACAGCAAAACAAAGCAGCACACTAAGAAAATTACCAGGTGCTCAAAGCAGCAGATTCAGAGGGGTAATGAGAGGTTGTGGAGGCTTTTTACCTTTGCTGCAATATAGGTCAGTAATGAACAAAAGTGGGCCATTAATTGATGTCCTTGGAATCCCAAAACAAAAGCTAAACTGTACCATCTGACCCCAATGCTACCTGTGCTTCAGCTATACCTGTCCTGAGAGTAAGCACAGAGTGCAGGTTCTCTGCACGTCAGGTTGGACATGCTAAAAAAGAGCAATTCTTAACAAGGATCATGCCTTTTGCCTGGTGTGCAGACTTATGCTGGTAGGGAAATACTACAGGAATCTGAAATCCAGTTGCATTTACATCTGTGACAGGCTAGAGAATATGAGTACAAAGCTTTCCCAAGGAGAGAGCAGTGATGCAGCATCTCCCATCAGTCAGCAGGGATTGATTGATTTGCCTGACAAATTTGGTGGCCTTCTGTGATGGGGCCACAGCACTCGTGGATAGGGGCACAGTGACTGACATTGTCTGCCTTGACTTATGCAAAGCATTTGACAC